CATGGTCAATGCTATACCGACCTCTACCTTACACTGCATAGCTATGTGTCTGTAGATTTTGGCTTCTTCCAGAGCTTCTGGGCTCAGATGAAGTGCCATAAGGCATGGTTAGGATTTGTATTTCCTTCTAAATAGAGTAGCTAGCTAACCACCTAAGGGGTGGGAGCATTTACTCCCTGAGAAATTTGGGCCAATGATTACTAAAAAAGCAACCACATGACTTGCTCCTTCTCCCTCTATACTGCCTGCATATACTTGAATCATGAGACCCAGAAGCCAGCTGTGAACTCTGAAGCAGTGACCCTCTGAATGCATGGCCTTGTATAGATTTCCTATTCATCCCATTTTTATATTCCTTTTTGCGCAATGATATTTCTTGGGGGTGGCACCTCCTGATTGAACATTAGAAATTAAGGCTTGCCTCAGTTATGCTTTCTAGGGAACATGGATTAAGGCAACCACTAAATGCAGTCAAGGACTTATTTGGAGCTTGAGCTGGGAAAGCTAACAGTGGTGTTATGGCAACAGTGAGGATCATCCTCCAAAAGAGTGGGTGAGAGTTATAGCCAAGGTGGAGGTTTTTGGACACAATCCCCAGGAAGCCAAATTGAAGCTGCTGGGAGCCAGGACCAGTGCTGAGTCACCATGCTGACCTTAAAGCATGGAATACAGGTGAGCCTGGCCTGTTTTGTCTGGCTTCCAGTTATAACCTGGTTTCTGGCAGGTTGTACCTACAAATGGTATCAGCTGAGCAGTCAAGAATTTTTTTTCCCCTTTTCTTACTCCCTATGTAAATAAATCCTTTCATTGTCAGTTCTCTGGGTGTCCCGTATTTGTAAGTGTGCCAGTGATAACTCACCCACTGGTCATTTCTGATATCGCAGAGTTTGCCCTGATTCATCTTGGTGCCTAATGTGTGAACAGGCCATGATTGGCCAGTCCACAGAACTCTTCCTTCAGCTGACCAACAAATGCATTGTACATGCTGGACACATGGTGGGATTTCTAATTTAGGGGTTAGTTTTTCTTAAATGGAGTTCTCTCTGTAATTTGACTTAGAACATGAATTCAACTTTAATTTAGGCACATTTCCTCTTTTAAAGTTTTGGCTTTCTGATAAAATCTAGTGTATGGAAGCTGACTTCAGTCTTATGGGAAGTCCTGTGTACATATGCGTGTGGTTCTTTTCCAACCTCCTGCTTGGGACTTTTGTTTCAGGGGGGCTCAAAGATGTGTGTGTGTGCACGCAAGCCATGTGCACATATTCTACAACTTTATTTTTTTTTATTTCAAGAGGAGATGAGCTTTCTGCTCCAGCTAGGTGTCTGCTTGCACAAATTTTAGCTAACAGGAGCAAGTTAAGTATAGGCTAGTGTCTAAGAAGTGTAAATTTTTTTGTGACACTGCTTGGCCTGCCTATTTATTAGAATCAGGAAAATGACCTATGGAGCTATCAGGCTATTTTTCAGTTGGAGGGATTTTGTTAAAGATGAGATAGACTGGACTAGGTCCCATATATGCACACACTTATGTCCCTCCATGAAATATATTTATTTATTGTTAAAGATTTATTTATGTATTTATACAAACACTGGGTACAATCAGAAGTGCAGGAGGGTGAGAGAATTCACCAGAACCAGAGCAGGGAGCAGAACAGGCAGACTGACGAAATACACTGCTGAGGGGAGCAGCGGGTGGCAAGAGAGGTCTGTGCGCCATGTGGGACCCTTGCCGGCAGCCTGGGATCGAACCAGAATTACAGAGGCTGTGGGCAGCTTCTCAGCCCAGTGCTCAACCGCCTGCTCCACTGGTGAGGCCCTGAAATTGATGCCTATCTGAAGGGTGAAGCAGTCTTCCCCTTATCCTAATAGCTATAGAAGGGAGAAGCAAGAGAAATAGGAACACTGCTTCCTGGACCCCTATCCTGTGGAAGTTGCAGAGACTTTAAAAGCCTCACTGCAACTGCATGATTGGACTGGAATGGCTTCCCCTTCACAAACAAGTCAAGGCATCCAGTTTGGCCAGAGGAGCTACCCTGAGGTATACAATTCCATCTTCAATTCCTAGTGGGTATATTTATTAAAGAGGAGCAACCTGCAGGATACTATTGGTCATACAAACTATGGACCTGTCTGAGTTTCTTGGAAGGATTACTCAAATTTATCACAACTACAGACATGAATTGGAAAAATTCTGTCTCTCCATACCTGCAGGATCCTCAAAGGATGGCAGATTTGTTTGCTTCTATTTTGCCTCCCATCAGCTTACCTGTGTTAATGTACAATTCATGTTCTATGCACTTATCAGATGAATAGATAATGCTTTTAGGGAAGGCTAATATAGAAACCCCAGGAACTAAAAGCTCCTGTCTCAATGGTGGATTTTAACTGGGACCCCAATGATAGGGGTGAAAATACTAGAATTCTACAAGAAGTGCTTATTAGGACTAATAAAGTGAATGCTTAAACAAAAGAGTCCTGATAAGAGTATAACCAAAGGCTAGGGAGGAGCTGTTTAAGTTTCTTGAAAGGATTACACAAATTTATCATATTTAGACATGAATCTGGATGCTTCAGAAAATGCTTGAATAACTAACAATATTCACTGGACAGTGTAATCTGATATGAGGAGGGAATTAATGAACATAGAAAATGCTATGGAGAGCTGTCCTTCCAAGTTGGTGAAAATGGCATGTGGAATTTACAATGCAAAGAAGCCTGCAACTATTTTCATAGTGAAGACAGGACATGGTTTGGGAGGAAGAGAGAAGGGATATGAAGTAGGAGAAGCAAACCATTAGGGAAGAATCAGTGTGCTTATTCCAAGGAACAGACATTGCAAGGACAGGTGTTCTAGGTTGGAAGTAAGAAAGGGAGAAGGAATAAGAAAGAGGAAAAGAGGATGCAGATGATGGCTCAGCATGAGGATTCAGACAAGAATCACAGGATGGAATTCAGGCAAAGTAAAATAACGAGATAGGGAAGGAGGAAAAGATAAATAGTCCAGGATGGGGCCCAGAGGCTCTACTTGGTGTTGAAAAGTCTATTATAACTTCATTGGAGCTCCTGGTAACTCTTACTGTGAGGTACAGTTTGATATAGTCTTCTTGTTGACCTGAAATAGTTTAAAATCAGTCACTGGCATTATGGAACATTCTTCCATGTATATAAAGCTATGTTGGAGATTTAAAGCACCAAGTTGGCATTCCAGGCTTGTAGGAAGACTGCCAATCCCCTTCTTGGCCATGGCATTTTAAGCTTAATATACAGATTTTTTTCCACCCGAAGGTCAAAGGTTGTACCTATAAATACTTGAATATGCCTTATGATTCCAGATGATACCCAGGATGCCAGTGCCAGAAATCTATGAAAATAAAGTGGTTTGGACTGATGAACTCTGGGACATGCCAAATATGTAGAATCTGTAAGAATGGAAGTGGTGGAAGGGATCAGTACAATCAGGAGTTTCATGAATATATGGGTATGGCTAGGTTTTGCAGAATTTGGATCCCAAACTTTGGGCTAATAACAAAACATTCACATGAAACCCTTCAAGGCACAGACACTGAAACTTTGTTTTGGACTCTAATGTCAGTAAGACTTAGATGAAATAAGTCTTTCAAAGTAGGACATTTGAGGTAAGAAGTAAAATTTTACAGGAGCTTTAGAGATTAAGAGAATACTTATTTTGTTAGGTGTATATGATATGAGATAAAGTGTCAGTATTATAGGTAGAAGTGACCTAATAAATTATTTGTGAGTAATTGGATATTGTGCCTGCTATTTGCTTTGAAAGAATTTCAGCAAAGCCAAATAAGACCAAAAAAAAAAAAAAAAAACCAAACAACCTAGGGAAATAAATAAGACTGGACAGATGTACCCATTGAAATTCAACTCATCATGATTCATTGGAATATTCTCTACCTATCATTTAAATTTTCTAGAAAATCAAGTTCTTTTATTCTTTAAAAACTTTTCTATTTGCCAACTTCATCCAATGTTTGTGTCCTCCGAGATGGATTTATTGTCATCTAGTTTTGGGGACTCTATACATTCTATGAATTAATTCTAAATGAGGAATATTTCTCTCCATTATTCCAGTTTTCTTGTAAAACTACATAGTTACAATTTTTAAGTCCTCCACATCTTCTATTATTCTATTTATCTTTCTCTACCTTCTGGGAGAATTCTTCAGCCTCACCTTCTAACTCACTAATGACTGTCTATTCTATCCTCTCCAAATTATATCCTATCTTACTTTTCATTCTTATATCTGATACTTTGATTTTTGTTATTTCCTAATGCTAATGTTTTTAAGGGTGTTTGTAATACATTTTTTAAAAGATATATTTATTTATACAAGAACCGGGGTATTGGCCAGATGCATGGAAGGGTAAGAGGATTCACCAGAGACAGAGTGGGGAACAGAACAGGCAGACTGACTGAAATACACTGCTGAGGGGAGCAGCGGGCGAGACAGGAGAGGTCTGCTGCGCCATGTGGGTTTCTCCCTGGCCGGCCAGGATCGAGCCTGTTCTGTGGAGGCTGCAGACAGCTTCACAGTGTGGCACTCAACTGCTTGAGCCACCAGGGAGGCTCATGTTTGTTATACCTTTGTTCACATTCCCAGTGCTCCAATATTCTGCTTCAGACTGTACAGATAGTTCAGTATTTCTTTTGAAAGAGTGGATCTCCTCTGGTGTCTTGTTTTGATCTGTGAAATTATCCATTTCCCTCAGGAGAATGTGATTGTCCACTTGTCCACTATATCAGAGGTGGGATTCTAGTTTGTTTCATCTGAATAATTTCACTGAAGGAAGAGAAAGTCTAGGATGTCTAAGGTTCCAGGAAGCAGCTTTTCTTCAGTCTCCCTCCCTGAGAAGCAACAGCCCTGGAAGGAAGCCAGTTCTCTGGACTACAGTCCACCAACCCCACAACAGGACCAATTGAAGGACCAAATTACAACTAATCAACCCCCAATTGCTTTCACTGACCACTTACCTAATGGGTGAGGTCCTTCATGCTGACCTGATTTTATCTGTGAACATTAACATATGGGGTTGTCACCATTGATTTATACCAAGATGAAAGTGATTATCACAAAGAAATCATGTAGCAGAGAAAAAGGTAGAAATGAAGTCACTTCTTTAACACCCTCACAGCTCTGCCAGCTGGCCTCTCCCAGCTCACAGCCACTACATGCCTATGTTCATGGGTCCCCAAGTATCAACTTGCTCAAGCAGTTCCAGTTTATGCCTGCTGCACTAGCACTATCACTGGTGCCCTTTTTAACTCTAACATCCTAGTTTGGACAAAATTAAATGGGTATGTGTAACCATGGAGATGTACCACTCAGATCTCCTGTGGAGAGAGAATCTGCCTTAAGGAGTATAGAACTACAGCTTGCAACTTTGGGATCTGATGTAGTGTTAAAGACAAGGACACTTCAGATAGCTCCTAGGCGATGACTGGGCAGGTTAGGGCAGGCAGTCACCAGGGATGGCTAGTTCTTCACAATGTAGTACTCCTCTATGGACAATCTTTATGCCATAATCCTTGTTGGGCTTAAGGGCTGCCCTGAATTCTGGGTGTCTTCCTGCCAGACCTCAACTAACCCAGTCATCTCTATCACCCCACAGTGGTTCAAGCACCCTCTTCAGTCTGTCCAGGAGCCTGTTATTTCTAGATTCCATGTTGCTTCTATAGTTGATGGCTAAGAGAGACAGAAACCTTATAAGGCTTATCATAGCAAGAAATCTCAGGCTGGGGGTGGGAGGCAGGAGGCAGTAATGATTTCAGTGCCAGCTGTCCCAGCCCCATTTTGGCATAAGTTATGCAAACTCTTGTGAAAATTTTATATTTGTTATATCTCTTATTTCTCCTCTTATTCCACCAGTAGTTGCTAGAATTACCCATTCTAATGCCTTAGGTTACTAGGTCACTGTTGTGCAACCATCCCAGGCTGAGCAGATTCATTGTCAATTTGGGCAGATGAAAATAATTTGAGCCTTTGGTATCTCTAACATGCCTTTAATGATGAGACAGAAAAGGGACTGGATACAGGTAGGCCAGCAGGCAGGGAGGCAGCAGCTGAGTTCCCTAGGCTCAGAGTGATGCCATGTATGCTGGAGTTGAGGGGTCTTTTATTGCTTACCTCTCAGCCCAGGTGTCCAAAATTGCAGGTGTGTGTGCCTTGTGTTCATGCCTCTTGGCCCTGGACATCCACAAGTGCCCCATGCTCATACTTGGTGCTTTTTGCACCAACATGATATCATGTGGGGGTAATGCAACATGGGAGGAAAGCAACTCCTCAGGTGGTGGCTGTACAAGCTGTTGGCAGAAGGCTAAGAGCCCCAGTATTAGTTGCTCCTTACAGTCACGTTAAAGTGTTCATGTCTATAGCTATGGTGTTAAGGGTGCCAATAGCTAAAGTCAATTAGATTGCAGCATTGGGTTGCTAGATCTGTTCAAACTATATCTGTTTGAGTGTTGAGATTGTAGAAATTCCTATTAAATTGCCCAATTTTCTATGCTTTTTGCTTAAAAAAAAACTCATGCATGGGGACCTGGTATTTCCAGTATAACTTTATCTACCACATATTTTGATAAAATGTTAAATTGATATTGAATGTGTATTAACTACAATATTCATTAATAAGGGAATCAAGGTAATCACAAAGAACATCCTCATTTGAGAAACATCAAGAACACAGATGGACATACTATGTGTGGGGCCAGGATGCAGCATTAATTATTTTTCTTTGCTGTGTAAGTCTACAGAAGGGGAAGTTTCACTAACCTGTGAGCAGATTCAATTTCTTAGACTTTATCATCTAGTTTACAACAGGGTTTGGTCAATGAAAATACTGGTGGTAGACAATTGTATTTTTCCTTTTCTCCACTTCAGAATTCCAGCAGTGGGTATTTTACATCCAGTGTTCTAGAGTCAGCCCCTCACTTCCAGTTTCCTTCAAGAATTCCATGTCCATGACTCTAGCCCTGTTGTTACTATTGCAGTAGCAGACTGAACACCATTTCTTCCCATTGATTCTTCCACCCTAAGGGTAGAAGGGACTGAGTGTTAGGAAATAGCAAAGAAATTCAGACTATTTGGCTTCCAGTTATGAAAATGTTTTAGCTTGTTGGCAACGTTAAATTCACTCTATTGAACACCTTAGCTTTGACTCTTGTTTCCTAAGTAGACAGATTAACAGCTGTTGATTTATTTCAAGAATAAGTCATTAAATTGCCATTGCTTTCGGTTGGCATGGGTTAATGTTAGAGTATGGGCTATTTAGAGGCATCAATAGATGAACCATTAATCATAGATAGCAAGTAATATGTCTAGAAACAAGCTGTGAGAAAATTGATCTGTGGCTATTAATTAGATGTGTCAAGCAAAAAGAGTTTCTCTCTTAATAAGGCACTACACAGCACAGAGCTATCAAACAGATGAAAGTCAGGTTTCAGAATCATAGGAACCTTACATTTTAAGCAGATAATCATAGCTTTCTCTAACACTCAAGAATACCAAACCTCAGTTTAATTACCATTTGGGGGACAAGGATTTTTAATTATCAAGCTGTGAACATATTTATTGATCCTCAAACTACCCTCCAACAGTCTAGGCTCTAAGAGAATCAGCTAGCAGAACTCCAGAAAGCTGTGGCCCCAAAGACTAAGGCACAATTCTATAAATTCACGTCTATGTTAACTGCACTTTGCAAGAAGTCAGATAAAATTTGTCACTTATACTAATTATGAATGCCATAAATTTGCATACTTAATGCAGAGCTTCTAATTTTGTCCATTTTCTCAATCTTCCCTAAGTTTTTGGTCAACTCAACTGTACCCTACAATAAAATATGCAACAATAAAAATGAAGTCAAGAACTCTGGCCACATGGGTTTCCAGAATGTTCTGGTGGTTGTCTGCTATCGACCCAAAATAAAAGTGTTTGAAACTCTGCTGCTTACAAAGAATATAGCCTCTTAATCTTTACCAGAAACTCCAAGTCAAAAGTCAAACATAATCATCTACCTGTAATATAAGTAGGAAGGTTGTCATCGAGAGGTGGGTTTAACAAGCTCTTTCCATAGGGAAGAAGTGGCACAAGAGGAAACCATGATGCGTCCTGAGTTACAAGTTCATCCACCTTCCATTCTTGCTCTGGGTTTGAAATGCTGCTTTCCTAACTGCCCCTCGAGATAGTTCCTTGAGGGAATATTCCTAATGTATGTATGTGTTCCACTGCATCAATAAGAAATTATTTAAACCAATAAGAAGCTTCACATTGGGCTGGTTCAAGTGTTGAAGGCTAGCTTTGAAATCTCCATAAAGGAAACAATTGCTGATACACTTAGTTTTTCCCATGATCACTAGTCTCTTGGTTCTGTCACCCCAAGTCAATAATCAAGTCTAGAGGGTTCTGTGGGAAATTTGGTATACACTATCTACTATGTTCTCTTGGGAGGCACTGTATTTGTTTCTTCATCCCAAATATTCCCTCCCACTTCTTTGGGAGGACTTCACTGACATTTCACTCTCATAAAGTGATCCTAGGTCTTTGGTTGGTGACTAGGAATTCTGTTCTCCCAAATAAAAACTTGTGGTCACATTAATGACCCCTACCTAGACCCTCTGTAGCAGATAATTGTCTTTTTTAAAAGAAACAGTTGATGAACCATTTGGCCCTGGTAGAGTAAAAATGTAACCAAGTAATATCAAATAACTATGCATCTAGAACCTCTCATTTTGTGCTAGAGTCTGTTAGAACCACTAAACTACACGCTGTCCAAGTTCAGCAACAATTCATTAAGATGAAAATAGCATGACCAGAATTGAACCCAATAAATGGAGGCACAAGTAAGGTGCATAAGCAGATGGGCCCAGACCTCTGTCATCCATATCAGTTGCCCCAGGATCACCCCTGGGGTTCAGACATATGGATGTGTGGCAGTTCATTATGAAAAGTTGAAGAGGAAGTTCAAATTCCAGTATTAGCCACACTGGCCCAGAATATATACTATATATATATGGCCCCAGAATATATACAAGCTCAAGTGAATGGTAGCTCCATCATAAGTATATCTAGGGTGGTTTTGAAATGCAGTGGGCTATAAAAGACACCAAAGAGTCAAAGCAATCCTAAGAAAAATATTGGTAAGCATCACATTTCTTAAGTTATTTTATAAAATAGTAATTAAAGTAGTAAGATACTGGCTAGTAAGAACACAAGCAATGGAATAGAAACAAGATCCCAAATATAAATCTATGCATATAAAATATTAGTATTTGGTTAGGGAGCCAAGAATACTTAAAGGATAAGAATCTTTTCAATAATGGTGCTGGAAAAGTTGGATATTCGCACAAAAAGATGACATTAGATTCATAGTTTTTACCACTTAGAAAAGTGAACTGAAAATGGGGGAACAGATTTAGAATTAGAAAATATAAGACTCGTAATACACAGGAGGGAAGCTCCTTGTTTTTTTGACGTGATACCTAAAGCACATACAACAAACAACAAATGGGTTTACACAAAGCTCCTGCATAGCAAGAGAAATGGTTAACAAAATATAGAGCCTACAGAAAAGTATTTGCAAATTATCTTAAGGGGTGGCTATCCAAAATATAAAAAGACTCAAATAACATTTACATGGGTGAAGGATCTGAATAGATATTTTTCCAGAGAGTTGATTGGCTAACAGGTACATGAAGAAAGTGTGCATTAGAAATTATAGAATCAAAATCAAAATCATGATATCACCTCACCTGTTAGAATAGGTATGAAAGAGAATGGCTATCAAAAAAGACGAGATAAATGCTGATGAGGGAAAGGGAAACTTTAGAGTAAAGGGAACCTTAGTGTGCTATTGGTGAAGTTGAGTTGGTACAGCCACTATGGGAAACAGTATGGGGAGTCAAAAAAAATATATGCAGTGGTGAGGGAAAAGCTTTCCAATGGGAATAGCTGAGCAGTATACCATGGAATGAGAAGTAACCTGAATACATCTAAACTATAAATTTCTGGGTATCATCAGATAGCCAGGTCAACTGATCATAGGTTTGGAAGGAAGACTGGAAGAATTGGAGATTTCGGGTAGAAGCATATGGAAAAACACATGGGAAAAGGTTGAAAACAAAATACAAAGGCTCATGGGTACATGTTAATGATTATCAGAATCCCTTCACCATAGCTTAAGCAAATAGACAAAATAACTTGTCTGATGTTTGCCAACTTCATTGGTTAACTAAAAACTGCTATGATGGTTAAATATCAAAACATGGGTTGGGTACAGCAACAAATGACAGCTACGTAAAAACCCCAGAGTATGAGTTTCCACTACCAAAGCCATTGTAGATATTGTTTCTATTCCTGGAGGTTTAAATGTTCACAAACAGTGAACCTCTGATATGAAGAGTTATTTCTCAATGAGTGCTAAAAGTCACCTTGTTGAAAGTTAGCTCCATTAGGTCCTGCCACCCAAGAAGGGCAAGCAATGAGTTCTAATAGAAAGATACCATTTCAGACATGGGTTTGCCTGTCTTTCTCAGAGGCTCAGCCAGCATTAATCCCTAGGGACTTACATAGCGCCTGATCCAAGCCATGGGATCCATAATTTGGCATCCAATCAGACTCAATCATGTAACTATGAAAGTGTAGGAGAGCACCCTTGACAATGATCCACTGGTTCTATCAGATACAACACAATCCAGAGGCTGCATGCCTGATTGGGAGGATAACCTGCAGATGGCACAGTCAATGAAATCAGGTCAGATAAGATGGGAAGGTATCAAGGATGTGTTATAAGCATTGGTCAGAGACCCCTAGTTTTGTACCTCAGTAGGAAGATCTCATGGGCCTTGGAACCAAAGTTTCCAAGCAGCAATAGTATGCTTACTTTCTTTCAAGTGACTATTTGAGGGATTTTGTCTAGTTCCAAGTCTGGGCTTTGCAGTTTTAAAGGACCTAATCCCCAAAGGGGGTATATTTTTGCCAAAGAGTACAGCAAGGGTTCCAATGAAACACAAGTTATATGTGCTTCTAGGACCTTCAGGGGCTCTGTATGTAGAGCCCAGCAGATGAAAAGACACTTAGCTTATAAAAGGATGTTATGGCCCTGATTGATTAGTGTGGATTTATGTCATCTATTTAGATGCATAGATGCTATCTTAACTAATTGTGACTGAATAAAATAATGCAGCTATCTCACTTAAGTATATAATTATCAAGGGCTCAGACTCATTTAGGGCTTAGGTCATACCACTAAGAAAACCCCAAGAGACCAGCAGAGATAACAGCAAGAAGAATCAAGCATATATTGAGAAATGAGGGAAGGGACAGTGTGTGTGCCTTTGAGGATTACTGCACCAATGGACTACAAAAATTCATCCCAATGTTTCTAAGTTTTCCATCAGTAAGAGGCCCACTGAAACCCTGGAGGACCTGCTCCCTGAATATTCCTGGAGAACCAGGTCCACATGGCAGAAGGGGTTGACTGACAATGAGACATGCCATCCAGGTTTCCCTTCAAGAACGAACTTGACACTTGGGAAGTCACTGACAGCCTCTAGTTGCAACATCATGGTATCTACCAGCATTTGAGCTGAGGCTCCCCTCTCCCTGAGCAGTCCAACAATGTGCATAGGTCCTAGGGTCCCAATGTCTGCTCAATGGGGAAAATTCTATAGAAACATTTGACTTGTCAATCCCCCAGACTGGACACTGGTCTGAAGCTATACAATTCTTTTTCTTCCTTAAGAAGTGTTTGAAATTCAAATCTGAATACTTTCATGTTTCTGGCTCCTCCTCTAACATTCACAAGCAGCCTATATGTCTCTTATACTTCAAATCCAGAAGATTCAACCAGCATATTTAGGATACACCCTGTAATTTGGACAGTGCCTGACAGAGAAGGTATACAAATATTTGATTAAATGATACTTGGGACGTTCTCTACCTTTCTATCTTAGCACCAACTCTCACTTATGAGACATTTTACAAGGGTAAATAGAAAGTTGGTTGCAAACATTGGTAAAAGGTGTGTTTGGGCTG